CTTTTATACAATAAAACAAATTTTGAAACACACATAATAAGAATGATTAAGACAACTTAAATTAATCCAATTAAATCACTAATCAAAATAAAGAATATCTTAATTATGGAAACCTTCTTTAGTTAGCATTCTTAGTAGACTGCTACTGTGTAGTTATAGAGAACACAGAACAAATTATGGGAATGTATGGGTTTTAACCAACATAGCCACTGCATCACAGTCACAGAGCATAAGAGGAACATGAAAAAGGCTAAGAAAGATAAGTGTTTATCTTTAGAAAGCTCCTGGATGCCAGCTCTTCACTATTACTCTTGAATGCTCTACAGGGTTAAAGAAATTTAAAGTGACAAAAACAAAAACAGAAGGAACACTGTTGATTTATCACCTATATAGAATATAGCTATAGAGTGAATTTGGACCTAGACACCACTACCATGGCTTATAATGTGTTCCAGATTACTGAATACCCTGCAATAACAAAGGCATGCTGCATTCCCTGTCTAAAATTTATTTTTAAGAACCTGTTATTCCGGGCTGGGGATGTGGCTCAAGCGGTAGTGTGCTCGCCTGGCATGCATGCGGCCCAGGTTCGATCCTCAGCACCACATACAAAAAAAGATATTGTGTCTGCAGAGAACTAAAAAATAAATATTAAAAATTAAAAAAAAAAAAAGAACCTGTTATTCCCCTCTACCATATAACCATGTATTTTAACACCTAACTCTGGACTTCTGCATGTCACTCACATTCCATGCCAAAATTTTGACATAAACTCATTTGACTCTAAATGAAATCCATGGCACTCATACTGAATTTCGCTCCCTTATTTTTCTGTTAAACATTTTTTATTAAAAACATTGTTGAATATTTCTGATAAGCCAGGAGATACAAACTTTTCCTTATGGTTGAATACAAAACAAAAACAACAACAAGAAAAACTTCAATTCATGAAAAGTTCAGAGTACTAACATTTTAATTTAAAACTTTGATGCTTAACAGAATATTTAGATAGTTTCAATATCTTCCTATACAATATGTATGACAAACGAATAAATTTAAAGATGGAGAAGGCTAGGGGCCTCTAATTAAACCAAATGATTAAAGTTAACTTTACCAATAATGGGACAAAGTGTCAGTTTTCATTTCTGATGATACAGTGAGTAAATTCTGAAATGTTCTTTCACAAATTGTATAATCTAAGCCTTTTTCATGAGGAAATTTCCAAATTGTAGTAAATTTTCTTAAAACCTATAAAGCATTGTTTTACAATAAAAAATGTTATCATAGTTGATGAAAGACTTGGGGGATGTTTCTAATTAAAGATGACTAAGGAGATATAACATATGAATACCATACAGGATTCTTTTCTGAATCTCAGTAATGGGGAACACTCTGTGAAAAAATGACAAAAACATCTGGTAAAATGAAAATATGGACTGTATATAATGTTTGTAAAGTTAACAGTTAAGAACATACTTATGCTCTTAGAAAATTCTGAGTTCAGGGCAAAAGGAACATAATGTCTGCAACTAATATATAATTTAAAAAAATATCAACACTATGAATATACACACATAGAAGAGGGGAGAGAAGATGGGAAGGGAAAGGGAAGGACGGAGATAGGAGGAGGAAGAAGAAGAACAATGCAGGAAAAAATGTCAATCTGGAAGAAGTGTATAAGGTTTCTCTATATGATTCTTTCAACACTAAATCTAAGATTATTTTAAAAATAAAAAGTTAAAATAAACACTGACATGCTACACTTATGAAGTTTATGAACCTCCAAGAAATGGTAAATATAGAAAAGTTTAGGGCTGGGGATGTGGCTCAAGCGGTAGCGCGCTCGCCTGGCAT